ACTATTTATTCAGCTACTTTTGAATGCATACAGTACATTAATTCCAAGTCAAGTGCATTTTATTTTCTCTGCAGGATAACTAAAACAAAGTGCATTCAGAACAAAGCCAAGGTGCTTTAAAATAAACACCTAGGCCAGTAGGCCTACAACAAAATAGTGTAAATAAAGACTCTAACAGCCAGGCCTTCAACAACAACAAATGTGCAAACTGGATAAATCCACATGATTGTAACTATTTACAAATGAAATTACAATTGAATTTGAAGAATCTGCAAATAAGGCTGTCTGTCCTCATAAGCAAAGTAGTAAACATTGTATAAAGATACATAAAGTGAAAACTGGATACAAAATCCACAATCAATTACAAATTAAATTACAATTTCAAGAATCTGCAAATAAGGTGGTCTGTCCTCATGAGCAATGTAAACAACATGTATCATTTAGATACCGAAAGTACAATATATTGAACACTGTGCTGCTGTCATTCCCCCTAATGATAACCTGAGATGGTGAATTATAACTCACAATGAAAATTGTTCAGGAAAGTGGGTATAGAGTAGACATGTAGAACTAGATAAGCTTATGATAAGCCAGCCTTGTCTACTTATTAAGGAAAAGTGGGAGGTTCTTTTTAATGAACAGTAGCTTCTCTGCTTTATCAGCCATAAGTCTGTTCCTCTTCTCATCAAGCACATGAGAGGCAGCGCTGAACAGTCTCTCGCTGTCAGTGCTTGTGATTTGATCTTACTCCGCATATTTGTCCGGGTGTTTTGATTTCAAGTGGTGGAGTAATCCCGAAGTGGTGAAAGTCTTTGCAGTTACACCCCCTCGAGAAATGTCAGCTGAACACGTTTTACAAATCGCAATCCGCGCCTCTTTCTCTGATATTTTTAGATATCTCCAAGCGCCAGACATGTTGGCTGTGAGCCAGCCGCGAGCATGGTCGCGCGCCGTGTTTGTCGCCGCGTTTTGATTACGTCATCACAACAACACGTGCACTTTGTTGTAGTTATCCTACAGAGAAAAGAAAATGCACTTGACTTGGAATTAATGTACTGTTTGCATTCAAAAGTGCTGAATAAATGTTCTATGGACCCATAATAGTGATTATTATTTAAGTTAAGTTTTGCCATAATCATGTCTTTTTCCATAATCAGGCAGCTGAACAACATTGGTAAAAGATGTATACATTATATATATTTCTATTAATCATTTTCGGCCTTTCGGCATTCGGTTTTCGGCCAACTGTTTCCTATTTTCGGTATCGGTTTCGGCCAAGAATTTCCCATTCGGTGCACCCCTTGTAATAACAATAACTCATCTCTCTCGAGTTTTATTTTTGTGCTTTGCCAAAAGCCACTGTGTCAAATGTCCTTCTTGGGTTGCCGTATGTAGTTGTCAAATATGGCGGAAACATCTCGCACATGCGCACTGCAGTTAGGGCAGGGCTGCAGATCGGGTAGTGACAGTCACAACCAGCGTCGTAGGACCGCTTAGCGAGATCGCGTTAGGGTTATTTAAGCCAGATAACTCAAACATATCCAGGGGTCTGTTGAACTGGCTTCGTAGTACAGGGCACTGGTCTCAACACTTGTTTAGTTCTCTTTAGTCTCAACGATAGGCTGCTACTGTATGCGAAAACCACCAACAGTTCTGCAACAACACACACGAATAGTAAAACACGTAACACTTCATAACAGTTAACTTACCTGCGGTTAACTTTTTAAGTTTAAAACAACTTAAAAAGGTTGTTATAAACCAAACAACACAGAGCACCATACTTCCCCCTGTTTACTCCAAAGAGCTGTGGGAGAAAGCGTCACATGAGTCGGCTTCATTTCAGTGTAACACCCCCTTCCTTTGACTCCCCCCTGTAAAGCTGCAAACACAACGTGCTGGAAAAAGTATTCAGATACTACTACTATTACTGTAGGCCTACTCAATTTTAAGTTAACGTACTTCATCGAGAATGGCACTTAAGTAAAATAATTCAAGTACGATTAGGATAATGTACTAAAAGTAAAAGTAGCCTACTCATTGCAGGAAAAAAAACAATAGATTGAAATTGAAATATTTTAAAGCAAAAGCAGCAAATCTTGACATTTAAGAAGCTCAAAGTGCTTTGCTGCTGAAACATAATTTTGGATAGTTTAATCTATAATAAATAATAATATTTTACAAGTTCTTTGTATTGTATTGTCAAAATCTGAATGTATAAGGTAATTATTAAATGTCATCTGTGAAATAATTGTAGGCTAGTTAAGTAAAATTGACAAAATTAGCTTCCAAAATGCAGTAGAGCCAAAGTATTAAGCAGTATAAATAAAAAAATACCCGGGTAAAGTACAAGTGCCTCAAATGTGTACAGTACTTTAGTAAATTCCTAGTTACTTTCCACCACTGCTCAGTTCACAGTGTAAAACAAACTTGGCAGCCTTTGAGACACTTCTCCCCCTGAGAAAGAATAGATTTATTAACAAGAGGTAATCAGGAAAGAATACACTTTTATACAAAACTGGAAATACTACTCAAGCTGTTGAAATAGACTGAAAGATAATTCTCATACCACTGGGTATTGCTCACTGCAAACATTGGATGTGCCTGTTAGAGGGTAAAGATTCATGTGCAAGGGTGGGGTTTCAATACAGTACACAAACTGTCCTAGATATAGATTTGATTTGAACACGTAAAAGTGGTACATGCCTGCCACTTAAGCTTTAGGTGTTTTTCTATACAAAGCCTGTAAAAAATACCTATAAATATTCCGAGAATAAGCACAATATAACTATAGTTCCTGCTAACACATAGACAGGATACAGAATGTGTTACACTTATAAGTTGTTTTCAACATTTGCTTTAAAGTATCATACACAGGAAAGTTATTACAGAGTTGAACAATCATAAGGATAACACATTTCGAGGGATATGTTTTTTTTAACACATTGCACGTTAGGAAATGCATCAGACTGCCTGTACACAATATTGTACACAGCAAATATTTCTGCTTCATTGGAAAATTGGAGAACAAAATAGTTTACATACTTTTGTGTATATAATCTATTTCATGATTAAGGCAAAACTATAATGCACTGGCCAAAGAGGATTAACTGTAAACACTACGGTCTGAGTGTAGAAGCTGGGAATTTAACTTCCTGAAGTGGCTCAATATTACATCTGCTACATACTCTGCCCGGTGCTTATGCTCTATATACATCATGTTGCCCACCAGGGGAATAAGGTGATAATAAGCAAAGCATAAAAACCCATCTCTCCACACTGAAAACATGTTCCAGCTCAATCAGAAATTAGCAGGTATTCTTGTCGCAGTCTGACTTAAAAATCTCTTGTCTTTATCTTTCTGTGGCTACATAAAATATCAAATCACACGAGTCAACTTCCGCCACCACAGCAGTCCCCCTTTATTTGTCTCAGAGGAAAAGTTCTTAAAGCGTCGTTATTTCAAGTCTTTAAAATTGGAATCCTTAGGTTTCTTTTTTTATCAATCCAGATGTGTATAATATTTATGATTATCATTCTTTCTGAAATTGACATGGCACTTACTGGATTTACATTCAGTAATAAGATAGTTTTCTGGTTTGGTGGCGCAGTCAGTCATCTCAGTTTCAAATCGCCCAGGACTGAAATCGTAAGGATTACACAACTTTGATGTAATTGTAATGTAGCTAGTGGATTGGCAGATATTTGTATTATTATTAAAATGGCACTTGAGGAAAAGCAATATGTTTGTATGGGGACTTGTTTAAAGACAACTGCACTTATGTTTCTCTCTTTGACTTTGACACCTGAGCAAAAGTAGGAGTTTATCATCATGTGTCAAATGTGACCATCATCTCTCAGAAACGAGACAATAGGATATGACTAAATATATTTTCTGTATTTACTCTCATCTGTTTATTCTGTGGTTGAAAATTAATGTATCATAAAATGGTTTTCAAGACAAGAAATAACATAAATACTCTGTAACTATAAATAAAACCTCTCTGGGCTTCTACTCAGTCTCTAATAACGATTATACACAACAAGTCCATTGGGGAGCACATACTAGAAGGGCACAGCCTACTGTGTCTAATACAAATAATAGTTTATGTACATTATGATATATTGTTCCTGTACACTTCACTACACTGGCTGCATCACCGCCTGGTACTGCCTTTATCTGTAAAGCATCAAAGAGGGTGATGAAAACTGCTCAGCACATCACCAGGATATAGATGCCACCCATGGAGGAAGTCCACACCGAGCGGGGCAGGAAGAAGGCCAACAGGATTATCAGAGACCCCAACCCACCCAGTCCCCCACCCTGAAGATAAGGATCAGTTTCATCCAACAGCCTTTTTGAACTCTTGAGCTCATTACTACTGTCAATTTACCTTTTATATACTTTTATTTAGTTTATTCAGTTGAATTGTGTTGTATTGTAACTTCTGCGACTTATTATACATCTTACAATCCCATTATTCTAACATTCTCATTGCGAATGTAGAGTTCTAATATGATGTTCTTTGCCAATGTCTTTGTAATTGTTGTGCATATAACTTAAATGTGATCCATAGGAGGGGTGGGGGTGTGCGATCCTCTTCATGCTGAAGTTTTGGGCTCGATTCTCAGAGATGCGTCATACAGGCTCTCCTCATCCAGTGTCGTACTGCTGTCCAGCAGGTACTTCGCAACCTAAAGTAATAATAATTACAGCAAAAACTTAAATTAGAGTCCAAAGATGTCAAACATATCGGGGAATCAACAGAGATGCAAGCTGAA